TGGCTACATGCCCACCAAAGAAAAACTATTTGACAGTAATGTATTTGTTTTTTCCTGTACTGAGAATAGCCCACCTGTTCTAAGTGCATATACTTTAGAACCTGTCCTGCAGGTGGGGGTTGGGTATGGGTGAGACAAACAGCTAATCAGACTTGGGTTAAGTTTTTTCTTAATGGAGCCCTTCACTTAATGAAATGAAAAAAATTGTATTTTTACCCTTTGTTCTTGAGACAATAATGTTTTGTTTTAGTTAGTACATGAGAATAATCAGTCTCAACAAATTATCTGAGTCAAATAGCTATGAATTTATGCTTGAGATACAGGGTGCATTTCACTGATAAACATGGTAATTTTTAAATAATATAATACATAGACTGATTTCTCAGGAAATTCCAACAAAGAACCATTCTATCAAATAATGTTTATCTCTTCAACAGAAGGTACAAATTTTAAGCATAATTTTATTTTTTTATGAAAATGTTATATAAAGAAGTATTCTTCAATCTTCTGGCACCTGTCAACTGGTAATTGTCCTCATTCCAGACCAAGGACCAAAGTTAGAAGCATGACTGCAGAATTCAGTCTTTCTACACCTGCAGACCAGCACAGTCTCTAGACCACCATCTGAAGGTCAACATTTTATAAAAGCAAAAAATTAAAATTGAAAAATAGCACTATTGTTGGAGACTGAAGCAAGAATGCTGCCAAAAATGTAATGAAATGTAATGATGAAACCTTGAACTACTTTTGTATCTTGATATTAGTGTTTCTAAATATATCAAGTTTCCACCGAGGGCCTGACCATGAACTAGAGTCCCAAAGAGACAACTTAGTTCAATCATATAATAGTTTCTTGCTTTGATGCAAAGTCTCTGAGCTCTGAGCATCTTATTTCTTATCAATAAAATTACTATGGAAATAATGGTTTCCTGAGTGACATAAAATTTAATATGATACAAATGTAAGTTACCCAAGACAGCCTAGTGTTTCTTTTTTTATATTCTCTATGGCATGTCCCATACTTTGAAATGACATTCATGTGTACACTTGTTCTATATCTGACCCCCTATCTTAAAAAGAAACCCAAGGAGACAGTGATTTCTCCCAGCCAAGACAGTATCACAAATATATGAAACTATCCCAAGAGGAATTAAGAGCAAAATTCAAATTAAAATAGTAAACTCCTCTGGATTAAGGTAATTGAATATAATTATCCAGTGCTTCCTAATGCTCCTTAAAAACAGATTGAGTATGCATAAATGTAAAAGAATTCAAAATATGCAAGTAAAGTGAAATCTCTTTATACAACAATGGAAACCCACAAACTCCTGTGTGTTCAAAAGTTCAAAACTAAGTCTTTATCAAAGAGTATTCTGTGGATAAAATGGAGATTATATTTCAGTTGACCTCCAAGAAATGCCTCAAAATAATCATTGAGCTATTCAAAGAAGCTAACTTTACTCTTTGGCTGCCTCTCTGGTCAGCTCTTTGATAAGAAGGAGTTAGGGAAAGAAAAAATGTTAATTTTGCCCCATAAAATCTAATGTTTGAAGCAAAACTAAATTTTATTTTGGCTAAATTTTAACCTCAAATCTGGTATTATCAACTCTTATACAGGAGCTGGAGCAAGAGCACAAGAGCACAGCAGGTAGGGCATTTGCTTTGCACACGGCCAACATGGCCAACATGAGTTCGATTCCTCTCCCCCTCTTGGAGAGTCCGGTAAGCTACCAAGAGTATTTCACCTGCATAGCAAAGCCTGGAAAGCTACCCGTGAAGTATTTGATATTCCAAACACAGTAACAAGTCTCACAATGTTACTGGGCCTGCTCAAGCAAATCAATGAATAATGGGAGAACAGTGCTACAGTACTATATGTGTCAAAAATGAGGGGAAAAGCTAAACAGACACTTCCTCTAAGAAGGCATACAGATGATCAAAATGTATATTTAAAAATGTTCTGCCTCCCTTATCAGGAGAATAAAAAATATAATGAAATATAATCTTACACCAATGAGAATGACACATACAAAAAACAATCAGTATTAGCATAGCAGGAGAAAATGGATCATTATAACTACTAGTGGGATGGCAACTAGTCAAACCTTTTGGGAAAATATGGACACGTCTCAAAAAACTAAGAACTGTGTTCTATATGACCTAGGTATTCTATGTCTTGGTATTTATTCCAAGGGACAAAAATCTCTATTCAGGAAAATAATGCACTTCTATGATCAATGCAACACTATTTGCAATAGCCAAATTCTGGAAATGAAGTGTCCAAGAACAGTTGACTAGATAAAGAAATGACAATACATATACACAATAGAATACTACTCTGACACTATAGAATACTACTCTGCTATAAGAAAACAAAATATGATGCGGCCAGAGAAATAGTACAATGGATTGGGCACTTGCCTTGCACACAATCGACGAGGAATTGATCCCCAGTCCTCTATATGGTCCCCTAAGCCATCGTTATTGATCCTCGAGCACAGAGGCAGGAATAAGCCCTAACCACTGCTAGGTTGGCCAAATCCCAAACAGACATACAATCAAATCATGTAATATGATGTTACATAGATAGATCTGGAGATTTTACACCACAGGGAGCTTGCCAGGCTTTGCCGTGCAGGGGAGAAACTCTCGGTAGCTTTCCAGGCTCTCTGGGAGGGGTGGAAGAATTGAACCTGGGTCAGCCAGGTTGTCCGCATGCAAGGCAAATGCCCTACATGCTGTGATATTGTTCCAGCCCCCATAAATTTATTAAAGGGAATAATTTTTTACTAGTCTATCAATACCTTTTGGCCACTCAGTGATAATTAGATTATGTGATCTAAAATAGATATCTTCAGTAACATTTAAGCTTAACAACTGAAAATCATAGTCAAATATTAACCTGTAACTTCTGCAAATTTCACTTCTATAAAACATCACTCTGATAAGTATGGGCCTCAGGGATGCATTATTTATTCCAAGAGTCTGAGAAGTAGGAGTAGGAACCTAGATTCTATGAAATATGAGACTGACTCAGGAGCTAACCTGAGACATTGAAAAATATCTCAATTTCTTAGCACATGAATATTTTCATATGTAGGAAGTATATATAATCACCATCAAGAGGGTTATGGTGTGTATGAAATTATATAATTCATATGCAGACCTATAACAAATCTTTTATTCCTAGAATATTTTATGCCTGCCTTGTTTAACATATTTACATTGATCAATGTACAATTCTTATATTATTCACCATTTCATAAAGAACAGACAGAATTTTCTTTCCCTTTATTTTCAGTCCACTTTCAACATTTTTATCTTTTAATTGTTTGGGTATTCTATTTTGTTTTTAAAGTAAATTTCTAATGCATATAAAAAACTCACCTAAAGCATGATAAATTGTGAAAGATATTCTTGAATAAACTGTATAACTATCAGGAAAAAGATTCCATGATTCTGAAAACTTGCTCTCATATTTTTCCAGTTAGTGTTCTCACACCCCCAAAGAAAATGGTCTGATTGATTTTAAACCATATATTAGTTTTTTCTTGTTCCATAAATTCTAGAAGAATGTCATATTCCAAAATATCTTTCCCTAATACATTCATTCATGAAGGGTAAATTCTAAACAAACAACAACATGTGAAATGTGTAATGTCTAAAGTATGTCTAGACTATTCCATATACATCTGATTTGAACCTCTTTATATTCAATTCAAGCTGATGATAAGTTCTCTTAAACTGAAGGGATATTAAAATTTTCAAAATAATTTACATCTTCCAAGTTCCTCTATATTCCTCTTATTATCTAAGATTTTAATGAAACCACAGCAGTGTCAGAGAAGACAAAGCAAGGAGTCAGAGCAACAGTAGAGAAGGCGGATTGCTTGACTTGTATGCATGTAGAGAAGCTTGGTTTGATCCCCAGTACACATCTCTTCCCCAAAGTCCCACCAAAGGTGATCCCTTAGTGCAGAATCAGGTGTAAACAAAGAAAACCATGAAGTGTGGTCAAAAACAAAGCAAAAACAAAACATAACAAAAAAACAGGAAACAAAACAAAAATAAACATTTATGCATGATGCCTGTCTCTCATCAACACACACACACAAAATATTAAAATTATAACTCACAAACTTTGCTTATGGTAACATACATTTTTAATAAATTAGCTTAGCACTAAGTAGACTTCATTTCATCTCTGTATTTTAAAACCTTTACATTACCATTTTATATTAAAACATATATTAGACTTAAAGATATCTTCACCTATCAATTTATAAAAAGTATATTACTGTATTTAAAAGCACCTAACTTGGGATAAACTAATTATTATCATCTATTTGGCACTGTCACTGCCACTGTCCTCCCGTTGTTCATCAATTTGCTCAAGCGGGCACCAGTAACGTCTCACAACAAATTGTGAGACTTGTTGTTACTGTTTTTGGCATATTGAATACATCATGAGGAGTTTTCCAGGCTTTGCCTTGCAGGCGATATAATCTATTTGGGATTCATTAATATTTTTCTATTCATTGGTGCTGATTGTACCTAACCTATATGAAATTAAATGTGGCTTTCCAGGGCTTGAGAGACAGTACAGCAGATAAGGCTCTTGCCTGGCTCATAGACAAACCAGGCTCAATCCAGAGCACTGAATATAGTCCCTGAGCCCTGCCTGGAGTTATTCCTGAGCACAGAGCCAGGAGAAAACCCTAAGCACAAATGGACATGAACTCAAAACCAAAATAAATAAATATATAACTTTTAGACCAAAATTTCCTAATAACAGTAATCAGTAGTCAATCATGAAAATAATTGGCTAAAAAGTACTTAGCATATATTTTCTACGAAAAAATCCCCCAAATTTTGCCTTGTATTTTATCATGTTTATTAACTGTTGACAATACTATAAACACTTTATTGATGTCAGTAACCATTTCAAAATAAAAGATACAGTAATAGAAATGCAATCCATATACATAATAGGGCATTACCTTTATAAGTTAATTTGAGTCGTGGAATATTTTGCTTAGAATTACCATTGACTGGAAGAAACAGCATGATCAAGCTTAGCAACATCAAGGCATGGAAAATGTGAAAATCATGGCTTCTGGACTTTGGTCTCTCATCTTTATCAGCATTCATGATGAAACAATGCTCTTTTCAGGCAGTTATTAATTTAATCTAAAAAATAAGAGAAGATCTATTAATAGAACAGTTCGCTGATTTTTTTCTTCACTAAGTTACAATTTCCTGAATGTACCAAGATTTTAAAAAACAATTGCTCCTTCTCTCTTGTTTTGCTCCTTCAAAACTTGCAGGGTAATGACTCAGAACTGAGTAACAGAATTCAAGCCCGGCTTTAATCTGACTTGAAGATGATTATATAATTGAAATTTCAACACTATATGTTAATTAGCATTTTTTCCTCCTCTGAAAAATACGTTAATCAAATACAGAAAGTACATGCTTTTTTGGAATGATAAAGTCTTTGATCATATAATACTGAATCCCACAGTTTTGATCATATCATCCCCTATAGAATAGACACTAAGCCAGTATTTTAAGAAAGTGATAGTATTTCTGACTTAAAAATATTAAAAAGTCATCCTAAAATTTGGTAAATGGGTAAATTTGGCATAATGCATTTAAGGTCAAAACTACAGATTTTTGCCTGAAAATGATAGAATGTTATTGGCACCAAATGTACTATTCAATAAGGACGGCACAAGGAGAATAGAGCCCACACAACATGAAAAAAATAAAAATACAACCTGTTGGAGTACAAGGAGCTTAGGTTTATCAGGTTGCACCCATCACAGTGCTCCCGAGTCACTCCCATTACTTTGTCCGTAACCACTTCTGTGCTCTTTTCCCCAACCAATTTGTAAGGTCTCATCCTTCTTAGACACTGAAGCTGTACTGTAAGTTAATATTGCCTTTCTCCTCTCCTTATGTCTTTTGAGCAGTTTACTTTAATACAATGGCCTTTTTGTATAGATACAGGAAGACAATTAATATTATGCTTTATAACTTAGGACTTAATTGGCTTTGAATATTATTCACTCCCGGGCATCTGCTTTCTCAACTTAAGCCTCAGCTGCCCTCAGTTCCTAGCACCCCAAAAGCAGGGTCCCGACGTGGGACTGGATGGAACCAGGGCAAGCCGGTAAGTTATGTGCTACCCTGGCATCGAGATGGGCCAGGCCAAGGTGCCACAATTTTTTTTTTTACTTCTCAATTTTTGTTTAATTTTTTTCCAGTTTTTATTTATTTTTTTAAAATTTGCTCGATAGTTTATTTATTGAATCACTGTGGGAAAAGTTACAAAGCTTTCAGGTTTAGGTCTCAGTCATGCAAATATCAAACACCTTTCCCTTTACCAATACTTATTTTTTACCATGAAGTACCCCAATAAAACCCCACCCCCTACCCCTCCCAATGCCTGAGAGGCAGATGAATTCTAGTTGACACTCTATCTGCTTTGATTAGATTCATTGTTTCAATAAAAGATGCACCACTATTATTTAGAGTTTACCCCCTCCCCCCAAATCAGACATGCTGAGAAAGCATTGTGAAGTGATTCGCTTTCTACAGCTGGGTTCAAGAATTAAATGTTGGTTTTGGATTTCCGCTATTTTGCTAATTAAACCCTGGAAGTATTTCTACTGAGAGTCAGATAATTAAGAGATTGGTTTCTGTGCTCTGGAGTCGTGGCCGTGCTGGAGAGCTGCTCGTGGGGGGCAACTGGTGGCCTCAGTAGGGCGTTAAGGACGGACCAGAACGCCCCCCTTCCCATGAGGTTTTAGTCGCCCCCACACCCCCAGCTCACACCTGCTCTCCACAAGGCACCCATGTGGCTGCCATCTTTCTTTCCATAGAGGAGAGGGCGAATGGGGCAACACCCTTTCTCCTCCGGAGTGCCACGATTCTTCTATAAGTTAAGAGTTTGGGCATAGGCAAATGCTGTCATGATCCAAAAGTATCGACGAGACTAGGACCCTGCTGCTAAGAATAGAAGAGATATCTGGCCTGAGTACTGCAGTCTGAGATTGAGATGGCCCTGGGAGAGCAATTCTGTAAGCTCAAAGTATTTCTTACTGTGTCCATACAAAATGATTTATATTATGTATGCTTATATATTGGTTGGACAAGGAGAGGAGAAACACATCCAGGGAAATCTGTTCTAGGGTGGGTTGATCTGCTAAATGAGAATCTGTCCTAGAAGCAGTTTTCCTGTGTGTCCTGACCAGCTTGGATAAGACTGAACTTTTCTCCCCTTCAAACTGCCTTCAGTAAATGATTTCAGTATATTGAGACAGTTTCCCTTTTCTCATAGGAATATAGATGGTCTTAGGTATGCAGATCCCAGGTGCTAAGCCAGGCCTGATCTTTGGGATGTAGATACTGACTCCAGGCAGGCTGATCTTGGAGATGTAGATTCCAAGCTCTAGCAAACTGGTCTTTGTTGTGCTAATCCAAGTGCTTGTAGTTTGTAAAAGGTGAGGCCAGGATTACTGGCCTGCTGATGTAAAGAAACAATGTATGGTTTACCTCCTCAATGTTTTTTCTGTAACTCCTTTTGATGACATCACTATATTGCGCCCTTTAGAGGTACTATGATATATATAAGGGAAATTTCAGGGCTCTCTGGGGGACACGTGCATCAGAGAACCTGGGAAGATGGGGTTGAGGACAGAAGCTGAGAGAACAAAGGCGCACGTGCTTGAGAGATCCAGGGGACTCCATGACATACATCTCTTCCATGTAATAAACTGCTGCCAAGACCAACCAGCTTGGCCTCGTTTCCTTCCTTCGCCTGACCATAGCCATCAACCTCCCTGGAGTGGGAAAATGGCCTGACCGCCGGCCTTTTTATTTTTTGTGTGTTTACACACAACCTATAAAATTAAAGATCTTATAAGGGAAAGAGTTGGTTATTAACGAGGTTGTACAAATAACATAGCCCTGGCCTTCTCTGTCAAGCCATGGGACAAATAAAATGTATTTACTTCAAACTAAGCATGACACTGTAATTTCAAATAATATTCACTAAGTCATTTATATGTAGTGATAATTTAAAGTATTTTATGTAAGTTAAATTACTTAATGTTATTAAATGAATTGAATTGGTAGATATGACTGATAAAGTTCTAATGTTGTGATAATGTGATCAAACAAATTAAGCATTAGCCCTTAAAACCTGCAAAAGAATAAAATAATAAAGAGAACTGATACAAAATGCAAGCTAGATTTTAAACTATAACCAATAAAACATATATAAATAAAACAAATATATGTATACATATATATATATATATGTTGGAGAAAGTATGTAACAACAACAAATATTCCCTCTGGTTTCTGTTCAGTGAGTTACTACTCGACTATTTGTTTTGATATGGCATAACTCAAATCAAATGTTATCAAATAAAAAAATGTTAAGTATGCCACAATTTATCATTTAACCATGCTCATGATAGGCCTATAGTATAACTAATGAGTTATTTTCTTCCACAGATGAGTAAATACAGGCAAACTTAAATATTTCCCCTTAATTAATGTGAATTATAATGGTAAGAGAATTAAAGTGTAGATCAATTAAAATATTAGCCTAAGTTTTAGCTAGAGAAATATCTCTTATAACCTCAGTCTTTGCACTTTGTCTTATGGTAAAATCAAGTGGCCTTTATATCTTGATGAAGTCTTCAACGTCTCTCTCCATATAGTTATTGCCATTGAAACCACTATAAAAAAAAGAATAATGTCTACCTACAAAAGAATTTCCTTCATTGTACCTGCTTCAAGTTCTGTACAAATAATGTATGTACTTCCTTGATACTAGCATTAGCTTTAAAAAAATTCAATTTAGGCAATTTATTATTATTGAAGAGCTAGAAGAGATAGCACAGTGGGTAAAGCATTTGCCTTGCACATGGCAGACCCAGGCCAACCCGTTTTTGATTCCTCCGCCACTCTTGGAGAGCCCGGCAAGCTATCGAGTGTATCTTGCCCACACAGCAAAGCCTGGCAAGCTACCCATGACCTATTCGATATGCCAAACACAGTAACAACAAGCCTCACAATGGAGATGTTACTGTGCCTGCTCAAGCAAACTGATGAACAACAGGAGGACAGTGCTACAGTGCTATTATTAACGAAATAGTTACATGACTTAGTTTTTCAGTCATACTGATAACATTAGTATTACTTTTTAATGGAAAATTAACTCTACTAAATGGTTCAGCATGATATTCACCAGATTCATCCATTTAACAACAAATTATATATTTTCATCTCTTTTTCTCTAAGAGCTGTATAATGTGTATATTATGCCATAGTTTCTATAGACATCTACTCTTGGACACTTCCATTGTTTCAGATTTTAAGTAGTGTGAATAGTGTTTAAATGAACATAGGAGAGCAAATATCTTTTCTGAATAGTTTTTGAGCCCAGGGTAGCTGCCAAGAAACAGAATTGCTAATTATATAAAAGCTAAATTTCTAATTTTTAAATAAGTGGCCAGATATTTTTCCAGAAAGGTATTATTAATACAAAATACATATAAAGTACTACTTTAAATAATAAAATTAAAAATAAAATTTTTAAAAAGTTAGAAGGTTAGAGAGATAGTATAGCAGATATGTCACTGAACTTTGTTCGATTCCTGGGTTTACACTGCATTTGGTCACCTGAATTCCCTAGAATTAATCTTTGAGCACAGAGACAGGATTAAGTCCTGAGCATCACTGTATGTGCTCCATCCTCTTCAGAAGAAAATAAATGGTTAAGTAATAGTTACACTATTTCACAACCACTAAGTTTTCTTTACGCTATTGCTATGAAAATAACTTCAGTTGGTCTACAGGAAAATTAACCATGATTAATAATAAATTGTGAGTTTGGAGATTGATGAATGTGGGTCAGTAGTAAAGGACATGTGTGAGGTTCTGAGTTCGATCCCTGCATCACTAGAAAATAAAAGTCTTTACTTGTTCAATCTCTTTAGAAATGAATCATTACAACTATTCAAGATTTATGAAAGTTAAAAAAATGCATCATTTAAGCCACACATTATTTTTATAAACTATTTTTATGTACTTGATCACTTGGTCACTTGACATCCTGTTACTCATCTATTTGCTCTAGTGGGCGCCAGTAACATCTCCATTTGTCCCT